ATCAGGTTGGTACCTGCGTCATTCATTTGTAACATTCGTCCTCTAAGGGTTAAGTAAAAGTAAACTATTTAAATAGGGACTTGTGCGCATTCAACGTCACCACTTATTAATTCATCTAATCTAATGGGTGGCCACTGTTATTTTGGAAGAACATAACAGTCTTGAACTGGTTTGGGAAAGAATTGCACTCAGAGAAATGGGGTTAAGGGTCATGGATTGGAGGAGGAGTGACTTACTAGTGGCATTGATAGGGTGCAAAGGTGAAAGAGGATGAGGCCCAGAAAAATGCTGCTGCACATATACCTATTTGTATGATTCAGGAACATAAAAGTAGTAGTTACAGTAGAAGCTCTGTTACTAAAATGAATTAATGCTGCTATGCTTCTATCGTAATTAAATTGATCGTGCATAAGACGATGTATACAAAAACTGAATACTCATTGTAGGTTACTTGTTACAATGGACTTCCAGTGTATTAAGTGTGTTGTGAATTTCCAAATTTTCACCAATTACACCAAAACATCAGCAAATGTTTGCTGTTTGGTTTGGGGGCTAGTTTATGTTCAAAAGAGGTTTTAAGCTGCCTGTATGAGTATTTTACTTAGAATCATTTGTAACATTTGAATTTTCATTATTAGAGATTTGACCATTGTATCTGGAAAAAGAAATCGTGATAACGCTGAATTTTAAATATATTTTTAAACGGTCCTGTGTTTACATCATCAGCTTAAACCATTCAGCTAATTGACCTGTTTTCCTGTTAAAAAGTTCTTTGTTCAATTCGTCTTTATTTGTATTCCAGCATTTCTGTGTCCCTGTGGTGTGTACATAAAAATTCTTCTGGATATGATGTCTTTCAGCATGTTCCTACCATTAAATTCCATGTTTTGAAATTATGTCTACAATATAATTTACAAGCCAGTATCAACAAGGTTGTGTAGTTTTGTTTATTTGTTTTAACTATTATCTTGGTTGGTTTATTACTCCATACCTATCACATTCTTTTTTTCCCCTTGTAGTTGCACCAGTTCCTTTTCCCTTCCATTTGCCTTTTTCTGCAAACCCCATAAGTGATGCCTAACATTAGTTAGGGAGGATTCTTTGCACTAGTCATCAGCACACGAGGTGCTATCAGAAAGTTCCTGGGCTGGGTCAGAAAATAAATGCTGGCTTAACTTAATTTTAGCTGCCATCTCCTTCAAAATAGTCTCCTTGGGGATGTATACAGTGATCCGATAATTTTTTTTGCCCTTCAAAAGCACCATGGAAGTCATTTTCCTGAATGCTGTGGAGTACCACTTGTGATTCCCTTTGGATGCCAGACACTTCAAAAATGTCTCCTCAGTTTCATTTTCAATTTGGGAAACAAACCGAAATGACACGGGGCTAAGTCCGGCGAGTAGGGAGGGTGGGAACGATAACCATGTTGTGGTTAGTCATAAACTCTGGTTTGCAGGGACGTGTGGGCGGGCATCATGATGGAGCCTTGCAGCGCATGTTCAGATTTTATGTTGAGATCTCCTTTCAAACACTATAACTGATCCAAACAGTGTCTGTCAGCTCATGGATTGTTCAGCAGTGTTCTTCATGGATGAGTTCTTGAATTTTTTCAACAATTTCTGTCATTTTGCTGGTGCTTGGTTGCCCTGAACATTTGTCATCTTCATTTGGCATTTGATCAGCCTTGAAATGTGAATGTCATTGAGAAACCACTGTCTGGCTTAAAGGATGTTCTTTGGAAGCCTCATGAAGCAGTTCAAGGGTTTGGTATTGGATTGACTGAGCTTCACGCGACAATTGATTCATGCATGTTGCTCGATTTTGCTGTCCATCAGAGACAAAATGAAACACAAAGTTGAAAAGGCACTCTTGTAAAAACAGTGTGTTTTCACAATGCAGTGGCACATGGCAGACTGATGCAGTAGGGTTGCAGAATTGTGTTCTTGGGCTCACTGAGGCAGTTACAACAATAACAGTCCAGGAACTTTATGATACCACCTCGTATAGGTCAAGGTGCCCACATATATGATGCATGTTAGGTCATACTGAATGGCAGATCGTACGCCATGGTTTCCATAGACTTGTTTGGAGAACTGTCAGTGATTTTCCTCATTCTTGAAGAACCTCTTGATATGGGCAGCAGTGTCCTCATCAGCCACCACTGGCCTTCCCATCCAAGGTTTATGTCCCAGTAATCCTTGGCCCTCCTTGATACTTTGGTATCATTTGTACACTGCCACTTGGCCCATGTCGGCTTTTGTATTCACGTCATGAGTCTGTATGAATGCCTTTGCTACTCTTGCTCTATCACCACCACCTACCTTTCATATTAGGCCCTCTGGCCTGTTTCCCATCAGAATTGATTTGGAACTGTGGATCTTAAAGACAGTTAATAGGACTTCTTGATGGTTGATCAGCCCTGTTGCAAGGCTACTACTACAAAGGTGACACAGACATAAGAAATGTGGACAGACGTTCTTGCCTCAAGTGGGATTGAAACATGTGATCCTACTGAAGAAAGTCGTCTTCTGGGTTTTGGCGCCCTTGTATTCTTTGTTTTAGCCGACGTTTCGGAGGAACGTATCGCCTCCATCTTCAGAACAGGTGAAGATGGAGGCGATACGTTCCTCCGAAACGTCTGCCAAAACGAAGAATACACGGTGCCAAAACCCAGAAGACGACTTTCTTCATAGTCACCGCCGTGAAAACCTCAAAACTTACATGTGATCCTACTGTTTGAGTGGGTGAAAATTTCATGCTGTGGATCTAGTCTGATAGGAAAGGTGTTCGTGTTTGCTCACTCATCATGTGTTGTGAGAACCTGGCAACAGAAAGTTTGCCGATTCAGTCTGTGGTGCCTTTCAAACACACTCTGCTCAGGAAGTACATGCCAAGGCAGATGATTCATACTCTGTCATTTGGCAGCAACTGCAAAGTTATTAGCTTCTTGAATCTGTCATATGCAATTTTTCTAATATCAGATCTGATTGTCATTCCTTGGGGAAAAAATTGTCATCTCAACAGCCAGAATCCTCTAATAGTTTGTGTAATTGTCAGTATTTGCATTTACGAAAACCTCTAATCTGGACAAAGAATATTATTCATATGCTGTATACAGCACATGCACTGGCATAATAGTAATGTAATTGTTTCTTGACGTCATGTTTATGGCCCTATAAGTTATCTGAATGTTACAGTATAATGATAATGCACAATCCACCCTTTTCTCAGAGTAAATATGGTTGTACTTGAATTATAACAGTTATAATGGTAACCTGACTGGTACTAGTGTTGAATGTTTGTGAGAAAGCCCTCCATTTCAACTCATGCTTTGTGCCTCTACTATCCCTTAATTTTTCTGATGCACATGAGTGTATTTTTAGCTTTTTTAAATGTATTTATTTTTTATTGTTAATGCTATCTTCAGGGTTATGACACTGTTTAGTCTGGTAGAAAGTTACAAATGGTTTGGAGTAACCTGCTGCCTACATCTGCAAGGTAGAAGAGAAAGTTTTCTCTTCTACCCTGAAGATGGCAGTGACATGTTCCTCTGAAAATTTTGTGCCTCTCTGTTAGACTGGACAATGCATCCCAGGAGATGGTATTTTTCATGGTCACTTATGAGAACCTCAGATCTCAGCAGGTTTTTTTTTCTTTGTTTTTGTTGCCAGCCGGCTGATAAACGCAAGTTCCCATATGGTGGCCTCAATGCTGGACGTCCAGTGACACCCCCTCGTGGTGCCACTAACAAGAACAAGAAAAAGTGAGCTATTGCATAGGTGTGGGCTCCATTCATTGGTTGTGTACCATGCTCCACTCCTCCATGTAACAATCGAGACAACGTGCTGCCACAGCAACAGCAAGCAGTTAGCACAGACTTCAGCTCAGTGGAGCAGCAGTACATGCAAAACAGCATAACTTAATAACATTACTTTGCTAAAGTTTCAATCATCATAACTTTGAGAGAGAAAAGAAACTTTATTTTTTTTATCTGTATATGAATAATTGAGTGAAATATCGGTGAAAAGTTGCCAAAATTTTTCTCTTGGACTGTGATGTGTTTTGATGGGGGCAGTTTTTTATTTCCTACTTTTGTTTCCTTTGAGGGAAATATATGGCCATTTGGTCCTTGAACTCTGCGTTCTGATCCTCTTGTCCTTTTCAGTTTTTGTTGTGCACGTGATATCTATAGACCGATCCATGGAAGAAACTGTGAATCTGCACCTGAACTAAAGAATGTAATGATGTATGATTGGTCCTGTCATGTTAAGTAGTGAGAATACCATATATCCTCAGATCAGCAGCAACAGTTATCAATTTGTGTTGTGTGTGGTTTTTACTTCAGGTAGAAACATGCGAAAGATATTTATTTGCAGTGGGCCATATGCTGGGTTAGATTTATTGACTTTAAAGATAAGTCTTTAAAAATTGTGCATTCGTTAAGAAACAGCAGTGTATTTAAGTCCTTTCATATGGAATTTGGGCTATTCAGTAAAGGTAACTTAATGAGAAAAATATGGTAACTGTTTTAATGGCTAGGCTGTGAAACATGGCTGCATCCTTAACCATGACCAGACCTGCACATCTGTATTTGAATACAACCACTAAATTAGTCATGTGATTTACATACATATATAGGGAGTGGGCCTAACCGCTGGTCCTTGCACTGTGACCTTTAGTGATCTATTGTGCATACTCCTTCTTATGTAATTTACTTAATACCATCATGCAGATGTGTGTAGTATATGAGTAATTCTTGAATGGTAATGCATTAATCTGTTTAATCTTTCGTCCATTGAAGTGTTGTACACATGTTCGTAAATTATTACTGTTGCAGTGTATCCTCATTAATGTCCATCCAGTCATTCACATCTCCCACTTAGTTTATAAGAAAGACATTGCATCTTGCCAGGTGAAATTGCTGTAAAGTGAAATGGGAAAACAAAATATCGAGGGAGGGGAATGAAAGTTATTACATTAGTCCTTCCATTAATACCATCTCTACCTTTGGGATATTTATGTTACTTTTTGCATAAAATTAGGGTAAATTTGAATTGTAAATAATTTGGCAACACTATAGATATCTAGGGTAGAGACATAGTTTATTTTCTCCTTTCATGGTTTAGTCTAATAAAATATATTAGAGGTGCATGAATCTGTGTTTGTGCTCAATTTTCATTGGTATTTCCCAAGCTGTGTTACTACATACAGAGTGTCTGTTTTTGACTCTTTGCAAAGTTTAATAGTACATTACTACAGGACAGCATTTCTCAGATACACTCAAAGGACTGGTTTTTGTAGTATGTTGTTTGAGGAACATTGTCTGTGTAGAGGGATGCGGTTAATTTTGTTTTGGTACTGCGACTTTCTGCGACAACAGTATTTCTGTACTTGAGAAGAAAGACTCGGATGGTGCAGTATGAATTTTGGCTGTGTGATAAAATTGTTACATGATGGAATGATGCAAGTTGGAACTGGTTCTTAAATCAAGAAATATGGAAAGTACCACATGCTTTGCTGCTGTTAAAGATGGTTCATGGAACTGGGCTGTTAATATTAGAAAGAAAAGAAAAAACATATTTGGCATGCATGTGAATGCCTTCAGTTTGAGGTGAGAAATTGGGAAAAAATTTCGAGAATTGAGACATGAATGAGAATTTTCTCCATTAAATCGCTTTTTCATCTGAAATCACAGTTTGTAACACTAGCCACTTTCTCAGTGAACCAGAATGTAGGGGTTATTATCTGTTGCTCCTAATATGAGCCTTTTCCGATAAACAAGTTTCATATGAATTTGAAAAATTGAGATCTAGAGTCATGCCCTTTTTCACTGTGGTTAGATGAGCGGGGGAGTGAAAGACATTTTGTGGGCAAGTTTAGTTATGTAGGACTTGAGGTCTTCACAGCAGTAGTTATGAAAATGAAAATTGCCATCTTATGGGAATGTAGCTCTATGTAGTCTGTACATGAGCCAACATTTTTGAGGAACATATCACTTCCATCTTTAGGGTTGAAATTAAGCCAAGCAAAAAACCAGCAAGAGCAGGTGGCTAGCCATCTTCTCTTGCCTCATATGTTCCTCTGAAACATAGGTTCATAAATGGACTACATGGTGCTATATCCCAGAAGATGGCAATTTTCAAGTTCAGTTATGCTAGCATTGACAGTCATGATTTTGGTGGATTGGATATTTGTATGCTACTATACAAAGTAAACCTGAAAATGTTGAAATTTCAGATGGAAAAATCAACATTAAAATTGAGATACTTCTTGATTCAGTCTAAAAAATACGAGACTTACCTATACCTTTGACATATTTTGGTTATTTAATTTCTTAAATGACACTCTTTACCCAATCATGTAAGAGAAGCCTCGTAACATAGAGTTACTTAAAAATAACAATACAAAATTTGTGGCAGCAAATCAGTCAGGGTAATTATAGTTAATAACGAATTTGTTCATGAACTTGTAAATTATGAAGGCCTTTAATGAGGGTAGTTCACACGTCACAGAATTTAATAATACACTGTAACACTTAGTGGTGTAATCACCTAATGATGATCTTGTTGGGGGTTGAAACTTGTAATGGGATGGAATCCATGAAATAAGAAATATGTTGCATGGATGGGTTCTGTAAAATAAAGTGTATATTGTATGTCAAATACAGTGCGTACCTGCATTGATTATACGCTTTTTTCTTTCTTTCTTTCTTCCCCATGCAGTTATATTAATTAAAATGCATGTATTTGCAGCTTTGTAAATTTTCTAACTAGTAAAATAATATATATGTTTGATAATGTGAGTTCTGTTGGAGCTTTCTTGACAAAAATCGTATTGGAAGATAATTGAATGCAGAAGGCACTGGGAACAGTGGCTAATGTATGTTTGCAAAGAGCACTAGTAGTTTTATTTATAGGGAGGAAGGTGAATTTACAAAAAATGTTTTACAGAATGTATTCCATCAAACTTCATACTTCCACTCTTTGACTAAAGACTATTTTTAATGATACATTTTACTGCTGCAGTCATTTCACTCAATACTTGGAAGTACCGCCCTTTTATAACTCATGCACTGCTTCTGGGTGGCTAGGTGGTACTTGAATCTTCATAGGAAAACGTTAACGTAACTGACATTATTTTGGATCATTTTCTTGTTCACATTAGATTCTATATATCCTGTTTGTGAGAAATGGAAACATTTTGTAAATTCATGATATAAAGGTAGACATATTGTGTATATATACACACATAAATTTTCACAATTTTATGGAGTGTGACTATAGTTGGGATTTGGATTGATCACTGGATTTATTTGACTCTCTGATAACGTTGCATGACTACACTTTACAGTTCACTGTTACAGACTAGTGTCCACAATCACATCTTCACTGCAGTTGCATGGTAGTGGCTCCCAGAGGCGGATGTTCCCCTTCGTGTGGGTTCCCAAACTGTCCTCACCCTCAGCTACCAGCTTCTAATAATGACAGCCCTCAACAATTGAACCACAGCAGTTCTCTAATGCACTCGCTCTTCACTGACTGCAACAGCGAACTGGCCCTGCTTATAACATCTCAGCACAAACTGCTTAGAAAACATAGTTCCACTGTTGCGGTGCATTTGTTGCCTTAGAAATGTGCCTGTTTGCAGAGCTGTTACCTAGCAACAGGTGTCATATAGTTGTGTTTTTCATGGTCACTGCCTAGCAACAGGTCTGCATGCCCCAGTGTACATACATATATATATATAGTAATATACTATGTTTTTCAGAAGGGTAAGTTTGTGCTCAGCTGAATCTGATTGCAGTAGATCAGCTGCTGGTTTGTGTGATATTTACATTATCAGTATATACCAAATTTCACAGGAACAATATACGAAGGGGGGCCGAAAAATAACAGGAAACGACCTGTTGCGCGCGCATGCTTTGTAGTTACGAGTTGTGCTGCTAGGAGGTGTTAGCTGGGGGTCTCCCGCGACTGTTAGTGAGCTGGTGTCAGTCTGAGTTAAGTGGTTTGTCTGTGTTGCTCTGTTGTGTGCGTTCCTGTTTCAACCCTTTGGCGATTAGAGAGATGGCCGACCAGAAGGAACAAAGAGTGTGCGTGAAATTTTGCTTTCTGTTAGGGAAAACTGCACTTCACTCTTAAAGAGCAGCAAGCATTCACGCGGTTTTCTCTTTGGTCATCTCCGAGCAAGCGAGGA